GTTCCCATCCCATCTGGGGTACTCCTACCAAATTTGGACACTCTAGGCCCACGGGGACTGAGTTATGAATTCCCCACAAACCCCGCCCCCTGTGGGCGGAGTCTGGTCCTGCCACCTCCATAAGCGTTCCCATCCCATCTGGGGTACTCCTACCAAATTTGGACGCTCTAGGTCCACGGGGACTGGAGTTATGAGTTCCCGCACGAACCCCGCCCCCTGTGGGAGGAGTCCGGCTCCGGCACCCACCATTAGTGTTCCTATCCTGCCGCCTGCACTCCTACCAAGTTTGAGCGCTTTAGGTTCTCGGGGACAGAAGTTATGACTCTCCGCTCACACACTTATTTCGCGCAAACCCCGCCCCCTGTGGGCGGAGTCCGGTCCCGCCACCCACCATTAGTGTTCCTATCCTGCCGCCTGTACTCCTACCAAATTTGAACTCTCTAGGTCAACGGGAACCGGAGTTATGAATTTCCGGTCAAACACACACACACACACGCACAGACAGACAAACCAACAGACACACTTAGCGCGTTATATATAGTAGGATAATACTAGCCACCAAACGGAATAAGTGGAAGTGATTTTTGTCTTCAACAGATAAGGATTCGCTTTTGGTCTAATCTCTTCGATTCAGGGTGTGAAAGATATAGAGCCCATCACACTGAAAAAGAAATAGAAATAAGAAGAGCAAGAGAATTTATTACCGTAATGCACTTGCCGTTGTGGTGTACCTCGTAACCGTCCGGCTTTACTTCGTGGCTCCTACAAAGAAAATTAATGCCCAGCCATGATCCAACAGAAAAATTTCCTTTACCTGACAACATATTGAACACCGTTCTTCGCGATCCAAGCATCAGTTATATCTGGGCCAAATTGACATCCTACACCACGCTTAGAGGGTGCACGGCCTCGCAGTTCTTGTGGATCTGACCTTAAAATGAAACAGCTCCGCAACCATTTAACTCCAGCAATGGGTTGAAAATGTTGAAAAAACGTCTATTGCAACATAAATTTTTAGTTATGCCAGTCTACAATCGATTAATAACTTTTTTTGAAGATTTTAGTCCCGTGCGACTGCTCCAAAGAATTAGCAATTGTTTTCATCTTGAGCGAAGTAAATTTCATAGCAGCTCCACCGCTCTAATTAGAGGTTAACAATGGCTTCTACAAGAAACTGTTTTACCAGTGCGTCGAAATCTTTGTTACCAAAAACGTTGGTTCACGAGACTAGGCAGCAGTCTTCGTTGTAAACATTCACTGCCTCAGATATTAAAAAGATACAGAAGGATTGGGCTGCCAACAAAAAAACAGCGCGTTACTCACCATAACAAATCGCACATAATGCCTTCATCAGGAGGTTGGCGAACTCTATCAGTTTTCCGGATATCGTCCAAGGTGACACCGTCCTCCTTAAACAGTCCTCCATGACATACCTGAAAAAAATAGAGAGCGGCTATAAGGATGAGTGCTCAGAATAAGAAGAGCTCTTAGAATCGTCATAACCCATCATTTGTTCCTTAGAACTATTGCAAAAGCGAATTCAAAGAATTGTAAACAACTAATTCTGCCTTCAGAGTTTAACAGATGTCTCCCCTTATCGACCCCTGCTGGATGTACTCTTTCTATAGCAACGCTGAAGGAGCTCGATCTCGCGACGAATGATTCCCCCTATTGATAGATGTAATCCATCGAGCTCCTGTTAACATTCGGTGCCAAACAGTTATTTCTATAAGGCTGCTGGCAGGCAAACACGTCTACACTTATCATACAGAAAAAGGAAGAAGTCCTTGAGGGTCTATCAATCCCGTTTAAGTGATGTGCCACGCATTCGACTTCCTTCATAATCGTGGTGGCGTATTGAATGCGTATGTGGCCTATACAATGACTAGCTGTGGTCAGCCGATGTATAAGTCAGTACTTTTATCCTCCCAGACGAGTCTGGTACCAATAAACCCGAAGGGATGGAAGTCTTGGTTGACCTTGGCGGATATCAATCTGGGATCCAAACCCGTGACCATGCGTGTGTGATAGTGGGCCACTTGCCACTACACCATCTCCGCCTCTCTTCTAATTGTTCGTTGCAACATCGTATACACAATTTTTCCTCTCTAAACGCTACTACACGCCTTCAGCAAAACCATACCACGAGTAATAATAAGGTGCTCACATCTTATTCATTGCTCGTAGCCAATATTTACACATATAAGATGCTGTCATCATATACGCCTATCATTATTACTATTAATGTTACTGTTTTATTATTATTACTATTATTATTCAGGTTGTTTAGAATTACCAACACCACCACGACTTACATCAAAACAGAAAAAACTCACAAAAATTTTCCTGTTGACGAGATGACAAAGTGGAAGCAAACAAAAGATTTCTGTGAAAAAGTCGGCCATTTGACCCGTATATTTCTTTTTTACTTCTCCTTCAAAGCCGTACATCTGAATCAAAAAGAACTGAAATCCAAATCGCATAGTCTGACAGGCAGCAACTTCACTCACCTTATTCATAACATCGCTTTCATGGTTTCCGCGTGATAGGAAGAAGTGGTTGGGGTAGAGTAACTTGTAGCTAAACATGGTGAAAATTGTTTCAACACTGAAGGAACCACGATCAACAAAGTCGCCATTGAAGAGCTAAAATCACATTTCTGAAGGGAAAAATGGAGCTGTATCAAACGATGGTGAGATGAAAAGGAAAGATTATGATGCATTACATTTCTCTTGACGTTTTGAGTCTCAACATGACGAATAAATAAATAATTAATGAAAATGAATAGCGGAAAGGAGTATTCAAAAAACTTGAATACGTTCAAGTTCAGGCCTCCATGAGAGTAAGGATCTTATGATCAAAAAAGAAACTACTTACATAGGGGTTGGTTTCTGATGGTAGTCCGTTAATATCAAAAATATTGCAGAGATCGTAAAATTGACCGTGTATATCACCACAAATGGTGAAACGCTGCTTTGGAGGCACATCAATTTCAACTAAAGTCGGTTGTTCTTTGAAGTATGCATATATATCCAATAATATCTGAAAAATTGACTGCTTCATGTATTACACTGTAGCCTGCTTCAAAAGTACTAGAGCGTACTTTGAATGCATATTTTTTGTGCAATTTTCCCTGCTTTTTGAAGGTTGCAATCATTTCGTTGACGAAATCGACAGTAATGACTTCATCTAAGTGTGGTCCATCATAAGCTTCCTCAACAACTGCAAGTATTAATATTGATGTATGGGCCACATTCATACAACATTCATATATGCTTCATCGTGATTCCACTTGTGAACATACGGCACAAAATAACGAATATCGGCTTCACGCTCAATAAGGTCAATGATTACATATATTTTCTTCAAAATCAGCCCAGTATAGTTGTAATGTACTTATGAAGTGTTGAAAGGAGGAACCAATAAATGCATAAATAACTAAAAAAAACTGATGTACTCACTCATCGTGGAGAGATCGATTGATTCAGATACACTTTTCTTATCATGGTCTACCGATATCGCCTTCTCGAAAGCAATTCGCCGAACAATTTTTTGACATTCATCGTGCTTGCGTTTTGCATCCGCATCGTTCGGATGGGCGCGTACCACAGTGGCATAATCAGCAAGAGCCTTCTTGAACCTAGCTAATGCCATATTTGCTGTAGCTCGACGGTAGTATCCCTGCAGCCCAATCACAAATAATTTCCAAGTGCAGATGTGACTGGTAAAACAAAGAACATATATAAATAAAGATTACTTTCATATACGAAGGATCAATCGAAATGGCGTTGTTAGCATCTTCCAAAGCACTACCGTACAATTCTTTTTTCAAGTAAGCCATGCTTCTAGAAAAATTCAATCCGGAAGGTATTGCGCTCAAAGCAGCATTATTTTTACCTATTCCCATATAAAACTGCTGTGGGATGGTGTTCTATGGCCATCGAGTACAACTCAATTGCAACATCATAAGCTTGATCTGAATTTTTAGTCGATTGCTTGTGTAAATCTGTTTATACATATTCGCCAATAACTGTAGCACTTAGAAAAAAGTAAAACCTTTGAAAAACTGGTTGGCTTCTTCCTTTATTTTTGATGCTTTTGCTTCATCACCATCGAGGTTCTGATCGTGAATACTTTCTAGTACCGTCGCTACAACTTCTTCAACTGATGCTGTCATTCCTGCACGAATAAACTCTGTTTGACAACGAGAAGCTTGTTTTTCTATACGTTTCTATAACGAACGCGATTCTCTAAAACTTATAATTAGAGTTGGTCTATCAACTCTGTAATATATTTCTACATGAAACATTTTCAAATACTTTAGTTAAAAAGCCCCTCTATAGACCCCATTCCATGAAACTCAAAACGAATACCTACTAACGGAGTTATTGAGTCATCGTGGATTTACTTATAGAGAATTACCGCTTCTTATACATCCTAGTCTGACACTTTGAAGCTTCGACTATGTTTTTTAACACATGGGTAGAGATATACGTACAGTCGAATGAATCGCACATTTCGAAACTGATTACTCAATAGTCCACCCGAAACCAACAAACTTTTATTGAATGAATAGGCAACGATTTGAACATCACAGACGTTAAAAAAACTCGGCAAGAAATAAGCGAAAATAATCTGCATAAAGGGCAGCTCATCTTTTCATGTCTTCCACGACTTCAAGTGAAGTTAATGACGGAGCGCAGACTGAAAGAAATTAAATTGAAAGGCGTNACCTTTCGCCCTTGTGCAATACATCGAACGCAGAGTTTATATTTGCTAGAGGGAAACGATGTGTGATGAACTCGTCAATCTTCAATTTCTTTGCCAAGTACTCATCGACAAGTTTGGGCACACTTTCAACACTTTTCCATCCTTAAAGAATGGCGAGGATTACACGTGTAGTATATGAACTTTTCGAAACGTTAATAAAAGCTCAGGCGAGCATATCTTTGTTAAGCCTTAAGGCTAAAGACTGCTTTACGTATTGTTGTGGATAAGGCTGCATGTATGAGGTGCGCATTTAAACAAAATGTTTGCCTCAAACACTGTCTGAGTTGTTTTCCAAAAGGCTCCTATTGCATGTTCTCAATGTTGAAAAATAAGGAGAATCTCCAGATAAGAAGTAGAAGCAGTTTCTAACTAAGTGTAAAGAGCAAACATGATGGCCAAAATGTGAGACTATTTTGAACAAATGACAGAAAATGTGACAGAAGCTTTTACTAAAAAAAATTGTGCAAAAATCTAGGAGCAAAACAAGCAACCCTAACCTTCGCCTGCAGTGAGAACGCTACTTCATCTCCACAGCTGTTTGCTGTCAATTAAAAACTGCACATTTCGAATCAGTATAGCCTTTATGGAAACTTTGAGCACCCTAACTCGTTTGTGAAAAAGATTCTGCATTTTCAATGCCTATATTCGCTAGTAACATTCCAAACTATCGATTTACGCACCTAGGTTTGAGACCATGTTTCATGGGGAGATGACACCTTTCCATAATGTAAAAGTAAACTTTTCACTGACGTAATCGCGTAGTGAAAAGTTATAGTTAAAAAATTTGCAATTGTTGCACGATATACTTCAAACTATAAGATAGGCCATGCAAACACCTCTAACATCGATCTCTCGATCTTACCAAACAGAATAAATTCAAGTATCTGTAACTCTTTTAGAAAGGTCAATCACAATGCGGAAGTGCTCCTCGTGAAACGAACGAAATCAGCTTAGTTATATGTAAAATAGGGCTCAGTGTGGAGGGATTAAGATCACAAACGTGATTAACTCACCACCAAACGCCGACCCACACCAGGTTCTTCCCGTCACTAGCTGGAAAGGGCGAGTAGAGATTTCCTGTCCCGCAGCCGCCACACCGATAATGCAAGAAACGCCCCATCCCTTATGTGCAGATTCGAGAGCTTGGCGCTTAAATTATAATGAAACTGAGAGTGCGGAAAAGCAATGACACGATTTGGGTTTCAAATGTGGCATGAACTAACTTACCATCGTCTCGACATTGCCGATACACTCGAATGTATAATCAAAACCCCCATCGAACTGCTCAACAAGCCATGCCTGCAGAGTCTTACCCGCTGGCACGTCCTTAGGATTCACACAATCAGTCGCACCAAATTGACGAGCTGGAAAAACGTACGTAGTTAATAAGAAAATCATGTAGGAAATGAAATTAACAGCATGCAAACAACCAACCTGCATCGAACTTATTCTCTAAAATGTCAATAGCCACAATTCTCTTTGCGCCAGCTGCTTTGGCACCCATTATTACGGCAAGACCAACAGCTCCAAGTCCCCAGACTGCAACAGTGCTGCCTGCTTCCACCTGAAGAAGGATCTACTCATAAAACGGCAACAAGACATATCTATACTAAATTTTAATCTAAAAGAGCTCTTCGCCTTTTTCTAACTTGGAGAACAAATAAGAAATACCATAAAGGTAGAAAAAACATTGCTCTGTTCGTTCAAAAAGGTGAAGAACTAGGAATGGCTGTAAGTTTTCTCCTGAAAACTTGGTTTTCTACTATCTCTTTCCTCTCTCTCTTATCTTTTACACTACGCTCTGCAACAGCTATCTCATAGACACTGGTGAAAATGAGCCCGAAAGAAAACTTATCAGTCAAAACCTACTGCTATCACTATATCCTTCAAAAATTTGCGGATTCCAAGAAGGTTAGCCCATGCATTTTTCATAGTCTTTTCTCTAAGGTCTCGTGTAACCTACTACTTTATACCATACATCAAAACTTAAACCCAAAATAGTAACCTTGCACGTGTTGAACACCGCTCCATATCCTGTAGATATGCCGCATCCGAGTAAGCACACTTTCTCAAGCGGTGCACTTGGATTAATCTGGAAAATGGCTTCAATACATTCTACTCAAATAATGATACTTTTCGTGCTCAACTTCATGAACGCATACCTTGTGCAAACTACGCAATTATAGAACCCTTAATAAACATTCCTCTGCTGTGATGAAAACCTTGCAAAATGATAGCAAAGAACGAACTGTTAAGGCACAGAACAACAGAGACATTTAAGTGCTTTCGAAAAAGGATATGAAATTGAGTCATTTCTAGACACAGCGTCAAATAAGTTATTTCCATACCGAAACGCTTCCTATATGATCTCGACCTGCAGACCTTGTTACAATTTTTCTTGTGTATACGTTAGTTACTTCGTTCAGAACGTCTTTACGAAACGGCCGTATAATCGAGTGCCTGAGCCCTCAAATTGTGTTCAACGGAATAATGTGCACCCTTGATGTAGCGTTTATCTCCGTGTGAGCACAAAATCCAGTAGAACCGTAATATCAGGTTGTCTCAAGAGTTTGTGCTATTCTCAAAGTTTTTCTTTATTCAACTTAAAAAAAAAAACAGTATCGAAGAACGGTCCGCAGCAAACCTTATAGTACAAGCATAGGTGTCAAGTGTCTTGTGTTTGTTAGGAATTGTTGCCGATTTTCATGTTTCGCATTCATATTTTTCTCACGCTGTCTCATATAGCGTATGAAATAAATAAATAACCATAAATGTACATCATATGCACCACCCCTCCCAACAACTTGCTGCCAACGGTCCTGCGGTTTCGAGCTGAAAAAGACAGTGCGGTTTTTTAGTTACTCCGAGGGATCGTACTTCTCGTCAGTAAGATGGCTGCTGAAGGACAGAAGTAGGTGATAGTCGAAAGGGGTTAAATCAGGGCTACATAGAGAGCGCGTTGGAATTTCCAGCCGAGTCTTAGCATCTCGAGCTGTGTCGTCTCTGAGTCATTTGGCGTTGCATTGTTGTGGAATAAGTTACTTTATCCAGCTATGAAGAAGTTAGCAGAAGCTTTCCCGCTTAAGCTTGTAGCTGACTGCAGTACAGGGTGACCCACATGAAGTGTGACGCAGAAAACTAGCATCAAATTTATACAAATCAAACCAAATAGGAAACTATCACTCCTAAACAATCATCACAAAATTGTGAACAACATATCACATCTCGCGTGCAGGATGACCATCTTTCGCTTTAATGCAAACGTCCAACCTCATTTGGATGTTTTCAAGAGTGCGCGCAATCACTTTCATTCCACGCTTCTACGAGAGAACTTTCTTGCAGAGGTTCCTAAGCCCTGTGTTTGAAAGCGTAGGCTTTTTGCTCCAGAATCGACCATACATCAAAATCCAAAGGATTGAGATCGGGGAATTTGAAGGAAAACCTGCTTCGCCCAAAAACCCGGATCGTGGTTTCACAACATTGCAGCATCTTCTTTGCGCTGTGGGCTGGTGCCCAATCCTGCGGAAGGTTCAGCTGACGTTCATCGCGTTCGTTTCCGCCCAACCGATCACCGCTTCCTCCAGCCCAGAAGCCCATAAGTTGATTTTTTTATTGTCCGGCACACTTCATGTGGGTCACCCTGTAGACTTTGCTAGTAACTGCAGCGTTGTGAGGAAGGAACCCCCAGTGATGTACTCGGCGAACGCTCCACCAAACAAACAGCATGATCTTCTCAATGAACAGACCTGTTCTCCCCGCCGGTTTAGCCTCTTCTGATGGATCCAACCACTAATCCTCTGCCTGCAAGTCACGTAAATTCACCAACTCTTATATCTACTAACATTGTCCAATCAGTCCGTTCGGCAGAATCGAGAGAGTTTGTAGACAGTATCCTACTTCTGGGAGCTGGTCAACTCATGACGAACCTACTGGTTAAACATCAAAACTTTTTCGATATCTCTATTTAACGAATACCTGGAGCAGCCGAGTGTGATTGCTAGAGAGCGAGCCGTTTCGTATGGATTCGCTTTGAAAGAGAGCATAGCCTATCTGTTTCAATGTGCATGAACTTTCGAGACAACCTAACCTGTACTTGAACAAAAGTAAGATCCTCAAAACTGAGTTTTTCATGTATGCACAATCGGCCAAATTCTGGTCTCAAAAACTTGACAAAACCGCCGTTCTGTGAGATCACAACGAATTCGGCAGAGACATTATCAACAGGATTTACCAAGATCTAACAAAGATTTCGAAATGACAAGCTGTTTAGAAAAGTAGAAAATTTCAAAATCAAGTAATAATGCTATGTATATCGGGATTTACCGCATTGAAAGAAAGCAAAGAATCACATGCCCACCTTACACAAAGATATATCTGCGACGACAGTGTACTCAGAGAAAGTCGAACATCCCATAAAGTGATACAGCGACTTCCCCTTACAAGTGAATCTACTTGTACCGTTAGGCATAACGCCATTACCTTGGGAAACGCTAAAAACAATCCATAATTACCAAATTTTTGTGGGGTAGTTATATGAAGGTAAAAGAAACGTTAGCGAAAGAATGCTATATCGAAGCCATTAAGCAAGGTTTTAGAGAACTATGTCAAGTTGATACACTAGAACCACAATTGTTTAAATATGAGAATGTATATGGACTTGCCGGATTTTCTGACAGAGGTTTGTTTTGGGATTCAAACAGTATTCGCATTCCTTACACTGCGGAACATACAACGGAATCACATAGTCTCCTATAACAAATCAAATCAACTGAAAAGTAAATCATAGCATAATACGCTTCACTATGAAATACATGTTAGCAACAAAACATTACCAAGAACATAAATGGAAATAGCTATGAAAGAAGCAACAGTTGCTTCTTCCAAGCCCACAGTTCTAGTCATGAGTTCACGACAGATTAAAGACCACGAGTACTCTTACACTTATTACTAACCAGGTTGAAAAGTGGTGACTCCTTCACCAACACTTTCCACTACTCCAGCACCTTCATGGCCTAGGATAACAGGGAAGAGGCCTTCAGGATCGTGGCCATCCAGAGTGTATGAATCAGTGTGACAAACAGCCGTGTATAGAATCTGAATACAAGAAGGATTAAAAAGCAGGATGTAGTATCCTCTCTATATATAAAGCGCTAACATTGTGTGTCCGTTTGTATGCCCGTTTGTGTGTCCTCCCAAAAGTCCCGCAGGCACGATCAAGATCGTGGAGGTCACGTAAGCGCGGTGAGAAAACAGTTATGAAATGGAAAGTCAACCGATGCTTTTTGTATTGGTCCATTGATTAATGTCCAGTCTATTTATGACGTCACAGACTAAAAATCACAACTCGTCTCCCACGAAGGACAACCAAACTCTTAGGAACTAGAGGAGATTAGGATGGAAACAATTCCACGATCACCTATTAGTGTCAAGAGTTCAATACCCACAAGGCGGCATCAGATCGTTCAATTTAGGGAATATCACCTAATAGGGAAACGGTTATGAAAAGAGAAGTCAACCGATACTGTTTATATTGGTCCTCTAACAAGTCGTAAGCGAGCACTAGTGGGCATGGCATGGTGCACGCGTTAGTGTGCATAGCCCAAGTGGTATGTTACATACTAGGGCTATATCATATGTCGGTTAAGCGAAGAGAATCTGTTGATAGCTGATTATATCAAATTCATATGTTCGAAGTGCTAGAGTATTGGAATAAATAAATAACTTATTCCATGGAGAAAGGAGAAGATTGATTTAGCTCACATGTTATTAACCGTTCCCGTTGACGAAAAAGAGCAAACACCAAGTGGATTACTAGCCGTCATTCTGTAGTTGTATACAGTATCACTAACGTTAGTACAGTATGAGTAGCACTAAGCACCCTGGAAGTGCACCAATGACAATAGAGCAAGCTATGACTTACTTCTAGAGGCCCTATCAATTTTTGTCTAGGAGGCAGATTTTGTTTATCTACTTCTTTGAAACAATCATCATAATAAAGATTGTCGTAAAAGGCGCTAAGTTTTGTTATGAAAAACTTGAATATACTCCCACAAGCTTGAATACCATGACAGGATGTATTACCTAACGGGCACACTTCGTTCTCAGCTTGGAATTAAAACAGTAATGATGCGTCGATCTGATACCGCGATGACAGCACAAGAGTATTACAAGGTTACGAGCCAAGTAGCAATCCCCGACCAACAAAAGTCAGCTCTCTCATTGAAGGGAAAGAATGAAGTGCTAATAGAGAGAAGCATTCTCAGAAGCTGTCATGAAAGGAAGCGCGCGCATCATCTGCTTCGAATTCTGAGCGCATGAATACATAGTCCATGTTTCTTTTATTTTTATCGCCATTCTGCCCACCCTTGTTATCTTAATTTAAAAGGCAATCAAAGTACCATCGACGCCTTAGAGATATTTTTCGGCTAACAAAAAGTTGAGGCTACAATTTCTGTGTTCAGCATGAACTTTTCTCTTTGCTAACTCACAAACTTCCATTTCAAGCTGCTCTTAAACTTAGGAAAGCAAAGTTGGTAGAATCTAAGATTGTTTGCATATATTTATTACAGGCCCTACGATAATAGAGAATAATTACTCCAAAACAAGTGCTATCTGCGAGTCACAAAATATCGGTGAGTTCTTCCTATGACCAGCCTATAGAGGTGAAGCGAACGAGAAGTCCAATATGGTTGCAGCTCTTTTACGTGAATTATTCAATGTGTGTGGTCCATACACCTATTCCAGATTTTTTTCTTGCTAAGACAGAAGGTTTAATGACAAAGTAATGAATAAACGTGATCGTATCTTGTACGCTAACAGTACTAACATGTACCTTTACTCTAACTTCATGGGCTTGTGGCGGTGCAACTTCAACTTCTTCAATAGATAGCGGTTTTTTCGCCTCCCAAGCCACTGCAGCTTTGCATTTGATGACCTAAATTTGAAATGTTAACGATGCAATACGAGAGCAATGAATTTAGTCAAATTTTCACCTACCTTTCCCTGTGTATCGGACATTTTGCTGCTACCTTAAGCATAATAATTCAATTTCAAAGTTTGTAAACAATAAACTAACAGTTCTGGTGAACAGAAATGGCGAACATGGACAAGCCCAAAGTTGGGACCAAATATAATAGAACAAAAACAATAATAAAGGATGAATCCATGGAAGTAGGCATTCGATCGAGCAACCTCTAACCAATAACCGTGCCTTTCTTTTGAAGTGTTCATAACCACTTTATAACAGAAACAGAGAAAATCAAAAAACAATGTGAAACATCAACAGGTGCAGTGACAACTCTCATCATCATTGCAAAAAAAAAGTTAGCGCTCCATAGTCACAACCCACTCAATATGCGGTGTCTGCGGGAACATATCAACAGGCGTTATCGACACGATCTTGAACGGGCGGCCAGCATACTTTTTCGAGCTAAATTAGGCGAATAGAATTTACTAGCAACTGGAAAAGCAAAAACGACTAAATAACGATCACTGGAAACGGCGACAGGAGGAGCACTACCTAGGCGCTGAGCGTTTCATGATCTACCCACCTTTTCCTAAAAGATTCAAAGAACGAAAGACGTAAAGCGCCTACATAGTAGTTATGACGGCAGCTGCGTGAAAAAGTTGGCACTAACGTTCATTTAATATGCGCAGACCACCTTTATACTTCAAATTCACAACACAAAAACTGCAACACGTCGAGAAATCGAGAAGCACCACGACCTCTTCGCACGCTTAACAGGATTAACGCTTCGAACCTATAGATATGTTACTACTATAAAATGTCGGAGTTCATCGGAGTTCGACTGAGATAACACGCTAGGATAGTTTTACGCTACTGGGAGTTAAAACCACTCCTTCAAGATTGTAAGGATCGCAGCTACGTAAGAACCACCTAAGTTGAAGGCGTTGACCCATTCGATGGCTCAATACAACACATAACCGCAGAGAGCTTCCGCACCACAACATTCTTTTAGTGTCGGGCCTACTCTAGTTTGGAGTTATGCTGAGCAGAGGTTCTATAGAAAATGGTTTGAAATGAGACAGAGCTTACGTCGGGCGGCAGAGGTCGACAATATTCTTCATAGCTGCTGCTGGATCACAAGATACAAAGACAAGTCGTCGCAGAGTTTCCATCTGAGTATATATAATACAACTGCTTAATACCTCATACATTACGTTCATCATGCATTCTTACCATACGACATCCAAGCACAACTTTGTCATGTACCCCACATCTTGGTGGATCCAACACTCCAACAACGTTCGAATGGACGAGGTTTACTCCAGGGGGAAGACTGAATCGTAAAGACGGAAAAACTTCTTCCGCTTTGCCAGCAAAATAACAGCATCTGGAAGCGAAAAGTGAAATACTTTCACTAATACAAGACAACCCAAATCACGCATCTCAACGCACGCATTTTTGGGAAAACTCCCTAATTTCTGAAAAAATGAGTATCCCGCGTAGCAGTATGGTCATGGTACTAGGACTGAGAGTTTTCCCTAGGTAAACTCTTTTTCGCAAAGAGAAGGCGCACTCACATCACAAAACCAAAAACTAACTCCCAACAATTTCACATGATTTAATGCTTTTGCTTACTGTTATCCATGACATTGACTTTTTCTATGCTTTTCTATACATTGCGGGTTGTACTACTACTTTCAACGATGACCCGATAATGGTGCCTTGAACATTCAAATGTCAGCGTAAAAACATGATCTCTCACTATATGTAGTGAGCTCATCACAGAGTTAAGAATAATTAGAAGATTGAAACAGAAATACGCTGTTAGCGGTACATTACCTTTACCAGTTCCCATTTATTCATGGAGCTGAGCAGATAGTTCATTTCTATGTTGTAATTACCAGCTGCTAGCTTCCGTTTTTCTTGTATCCGGCTATACAATGTCTCTTTGTGCCGCGGAAAACCATGATTCTTCAATAGTTTAGCTCTCGTTCACTATGGAGCGCGTAACCTTCACAACCATTTCGCCGAAGAACTGAAGCTACATTCATCTAACTTCACGCCCCGCCCAATGATGACGCTTGAATAGCCTTTTTCATTGACCAGCCTATGCCTCCACTTTTAGTTCAAACACCTTCTTGAAGCACGCCTAGACCTTGCTCATTTCCACCAAATTTTCTTCGAATGTCTACGATACCATGAACTGAGTTGAAAAACTTCCATATAAAAAAAGGATCTAGCGAGAAATGTAGAATGATGGAATGCATTGTTGCGAGCACAAGTAGTAGTCGTTGTTTTCTTAATTGTGCCGGGGGATACTGGTAGTATTCAGAGTTCGAGGAACAGAATTTCCAACTTTAACCATTTTTGCTGCAATCAAGTGAGCTGCTTATTGACATCTCTGATAAGTAATTCGGGTGCAGTCAACCTCTTTCCCATGAATAGTCCACGCAATATTCCCCAAGCAGCGAGGTAATTAAGGACCCAGCGCCAACCGAATAGAATCCTAACCAATGTGTTTCTACAGCTTTGTGGAACATACTGCTCTACTTACACATCGTTGGAAATTAGGCTGAGTGATCATCCCGAACCTGTTTTGGCTACGGAAGGAAGCGCGAAACGAAATAACTGAAAAACATCGTGAACTACATTACAGTGCGAAAAAAGCAGTCGATTGGAGAAGTATGTCTAGGGGGTTCGTTCACAGATTAATTGCACCAATAATGGAAAATTCCCAACATCAGCATATTTCGTTAGAACATGCTGGAATCCACTGATATTTCGCTTCTGCATGCAAGAATACCCTATCCACAGCAATGTAAGAAAAAGACAGCATCGAAACCACAACACGTTAAGAGGAATTCGGGTACCAAACCGGCAGCGAACGAATAGCAAAGATTAGATAGCTACGTTACTCCTATCTTACCTCGCCTCTTAAATTTGGACACTGCACAAGGGTAAGCATACGATTCGTGCCATTCTATGCGGAGAAGGAGGGGGGAGGGGACAAGCATCGCTATTTTTTATACTGCAAAGGCAAAAATAAAAAATAAAACAAATATAAATGCTGACAACGACAATAAACAAGGGATGTTGCCGCATACGCTAAGGAATAGAGAACTTTTAAAGAAACCGATTATTAGGCAATTGGTACTGCAAGTTCTCAGCTATCGAGAAGGTTTCTGCTCTGGTGCAGTTGGTCCATTGGCCATCACACAAACGAATTATGGCAACTAGAGCAACACGTATACCGACCAAATTTTTTGGGATAAACGATTGCGTTGAGGGGGCTGGTTAGCCGACGAAATTTTCCAAAAGTTTGAAGGAACGGTGTAGTAGGAAGGAAAGTAAATGCGCTTGGTGTTCCTCAAACGAGATGACAAACTGTGGAAGAGACTAATGGAGCTACCACGCGCTGGAGCAAACCGATGAGTGGTGAGGAGACGATAATAATATTGATTTCCACGAGCCCTTCTTTTCATTGTGATTACACTATAAGAGGGGATCGGGCAGAAAAACTGTGCTTCAATGACTTACACATCATTTCCCATACCATTTCCTTTGGCATTTTCTTTGGCATCCATTATGGCCGCTTCTACCACGTCTATTCCGACGCAGAAAATCTTAACAAAACGGATGGAAAATCAAAAGCAAACGGAGTATAGCAAATATTCTTACATCGTTGTCTTTCTTGAATTCTTTGAGGACACATTGACCAATGGTACCTGTTCCGCAACAAATGTCAAGAAGGATTGTGGGGCGCGCCTTCGTACTATTCTGAGCTTCAGAACGTAGCGGTTCGTCTTTACCGTCAGTTCCCTAAATAAGTCTAAACGATGACGAAAAATGAAGAAGTTAACAGAACCACGAATGTTTCGCCAGTAAGATTCTTGGAGCTCGCCCTTAAATAATTTTGAGGCGAAGAAACAAAACGGAATCGATTTGGAAGTCTGAACAACATGACGATAAATACCTCAATCTTCACAGTTTCGCTACTGGATTCATCCAACTTCAAACGTTTAGGTGGAACTTCCGAATCTTCTTCATCACAATCCATTGATTGCTGCCGTGATGTGGCAAGCCCGCTGGCTTCTCCTTGAAAGTGTAAAGGTATAACGTTTCCTCGGTTTCGGAAGTCAAATCAATGATCATTTTCATATCCGGTGTACCTTAAAAGCTGTAATGACTCCTGGTAATTGCCCCCTCGCAACAAGGCCTTCACTGTAAATTTTCTAGCTGAATTCTTCTACACCTATGCTACTTACATTTGTGCACCACGGGAGTCTGCTAGCACGATTTGAGCATTGTTAGGGGGGAAAAAAAGTAAGAGGCCCAGATTGTTACATCATGTTATGATCGAAAACGATATACTCACTTTGACATCCAGATAGTTCTGCGCAAGCTCAGTTATCCGCACACCACTTTGAGAAGAAACCAGCAATAATCTTTCACGAGGCAAATATGATTCCTTACCTACAGTGTTGTATAACACTGCGGCAGCACGGCTGTTTGTTTGGAAGAATGCCGACGGAGAAACGCGAAAGCGGCATCCTAACACGGTTTCGTAGATGTATGGAGTTCCTAAAGACTGATATATAAAGCCAAATGGAAGAGAATCAAATGATCTTGAAAGAGAAGTAGTCGAGCTCGGTGAGTTTTTCGGTTTCTTAACACATATAAGTGACTACATACTCGTAATAGGTTGCTCACCTCCAATGTGCTCGTAGTCAGTTACGTCACTGCAGTTGGCGAGGGAGTGCCAATATAATGATGTCACCCTAAAGCCGTCCTCCAAAAATGTTGAGCTGTTCAAAAATCTAAAACAAACCTTCATTAAAATGTGACCGAGAGGATATTTGCACTAATAGAGCTAATTGTATAGTAACAACAAATTTCCCTATTCTATATAGAATAGAAACTTGATCTGCCGGAATTGTGGTTGTTTGTATATTTGCCCATTAGCTTATTCAGTTACAAGGCATAGTTGAATAAGTAATCATGACTAAACTTCCCTCCGCAGTCGGTAACGATACTATTTATTTGAAGATACATTTACATAGGTGAGACCCATGATTGGGTTGTCAATAGATAATCACAAATCACACTTCATGGACGATAAACAACACAAAAGGAACCCACCTTGAACAAAAGTTCTGCTTGAGTTTTTCCTCTTCAACCCGATCTTCGAGAGGGTTCACTGTGAGAATAAGCATTACGTCACCACCAAAATGTCGCACAGTGAGCATCTTCCAGACGCCAACTCGCGAAAATTCGTCGAATGGAGGCAGACCTATCAATTGCCATACAACGCTGAAATTCCCTTTGGCGCAGGGCCGATTGAAACCGTGTGAGTTGAAAAAGCGACGTAAACACACCTGACGCTTGCACAAAATTTGTCACAGCTTTTACTATCTTCTTCGTCATCTCTGTGATATTATCAACATCATCTATGGGAATAATGTAATGTTCATTGTTGGAGAAGCGTCCGCCCACAAATCCAACACATACCTGCAAGTATGTAAAACAATTCATTACCTGTTTCGGAGCAACATGACAATTTGGTTGCTGCAGAGGGAGCATAACAAATATAGAACTTTGGAAGATGCACCTTTTTCTCACATGTAAGACCAATAGTGAACTCGCACTTGTTGCGATAGCCTGTCGTTATCGGTGACGGCTTAATCTGAACAGTCAAGTTGAAAAAGTAAAAGAAAGCAGTCTTATAATAAAAACGGTGCTTCAACATATAGCTAAAAGCGATAATCTGCGAATGCGTACTTGTTTTAAAAGTTCAGCAGGGTGCAGCTGATTTACATAGTCGACATTTGCTTTCTTCATCTCTGCAAGTAACCTTTCACATGCTCTGAAATGCTCATTTATTACTGATTTAAAACGACCAGTTAAAAAACAATCACCTGGAATCGAAAAAAACATACCTCAAAGAAGTTTTAGTCTTTTGCGACAGTTGTTCATTGTAAGGCAAATCCGCAAGCTTAGTAACACTTTCCCTTGCGGTCTTAGCTTTCCCTGGCTGAGCATGCTCCGGTAAAAACTAAACCGAGTTAAATAAGGATTAGGGAGGAAATCCAAGAAGATATATGAAACCAATGCTCACCGTCTTCCGATCAGTTTGGGCAAGTTGAGCTTTCAATACAGCTTTCTTTACAGCCAATCCATTGAGTTTTAAAATGGCCTGCTGTGCATCTTCAGCGGACTTGAAGGTTACGTATGCGTCAAATTTCATCTGACGGATTTTTCCAATATTTATGCCCGACAGATGCCTGAAAAGTGGAAATTTGGGAAGAGGTAAAAAAGGCTTTCGTTGAGCATTAACTCACTTTTCCAGGAGCTTCTTGAATTGTTTGAAACCGAAGAACTTGGGGACCGGAGAAATGTGAATTCTATTCTGGTCCAAACCATCTGGGATTTCGTTACCACGCTCACTGCTGTCATCATTATCATTATTCTCCGCAGCCGTTTGGTTTCCTAACTCCATAATTTCTAAACACCACAGTAACTCCAAAAAAAGATAAGTAACAGCGGCAAACACAACGACATCAGAAGGAGACCCAGAATGTTATGTACAAAAATCATAAGGAAGGTCGCAAAGTTGCGTGAGTGAGAGACTACAGTAACCCTACGCCTAATTTTGCAACCAGTAGTTGCGACTGAAAAATCGCTCTCGTTCTGAGTTCATAACAGCGTTTTTTGACATTGATTAATTAGTTAGTTTATTACATGAGTAGAAGCATCATGTGGAACTAGACAAAAACTTGAAAGTAATTCAAAGATCGAGAGTTAGGTTGGTCCGGAACCCGGATCACTTGGAGCGAATATTAGCAAAAATAACAATGAAAAAGACAACTTGAGATAAAAATCAAGAGAAAAGAGCTAAAGGAATACGAAACTAAATGTGAGAACTACCACAAGAGGGAAGTTGAGTACAACAAACCACTTTTAAAGAAAGTTTGCGAATCTGAGCCAATGTTTCCGGTATGCTTCCCCGCTTGATAATTTTGTTGAAAGCTGAACCTACATGATAATAAAAGAAATGAGCTCTAAGGTTCAAGTTAAACCTGGCAAGGTACTTTTTGGCACTACCTTCACGAGCACGTAAGTCTCTCGCACCAACAGTTTATTTCTGTCACTTTATACTTTACCGGTAAGAATTCTACAAAGCACAAATAAATCAATCATTTTCCTCCTTTCGAGCGACAGCAAATCTAGCATTTCATTACATTTCGATCTACTAATTATTTTAGCATAGTTTTTGCAGTAAATCCTAATCAATAATTCCTTGGTGAAGTCACTTTGAACTTTTTTCGAGCACTAAAAAAAAGTGACATTCTGTTAAGAAAGTATCCGGGATGTCCCAAAAATATGGGTGCCAATTCATGGCAGTGTATTTGAAGGTTATCAGCGGGAATGACAATGGAATATCCAAATATGCACGTTTGTGCTAAAACATGCTACAATCACATTTCAAAACTTCCCTATGAGCACGGATAGAGATCGGAAGCGTGCTCTCGAACTCCTAGCTTCATTTCTTCCCAGCCTTTTTTGAGACTTGCCTTCTGGGACTCAGAACTGTGACGTCGAACTCGACAGGTCCACTTCTAATCAGAGACCATACGGACGAGTCAGATGAGTTGAGATCCTAAAAGCAGGATGGCCATTCCTCTGTGCTAATGAAGTGGGCCAGCTAGCGTCGGCACCGTTAGCGGACGAGGTTGCACCTGTGGGTTGGAGTGCCATCCTGTTAGGGGGACTTCGGGCTGTTTTAGAAGGCGGAGTAGGACCAGTGCTTCATTACTTCCATCAGGACGCCCTTTATGTACGAATCTTTGTCAATTTTCACGCCGGCACCGTCGAACATCTTAGGGGACATCCTTTATAACCCCGTATTCTATCATCGAGCGAATATGAGTCTTATAGGCCCAAAGGACAACCTGTGAACCCCTACAGCTAACACTTAAGAAAGGATTGTGGATTTTCTCACATTAGAGGCCTTGTAATGATCGTGTTGATATGGTCATCGAAACTAAGATTGTTTGAAATAATAAAATTCAGATCATAAGCCCTGTTAATTGTCAGAAAGGCCGTCCCATCAGTATGGTAACAGAATCTTGAAAACTGAGTAGATGAGGACGCATCAAAACGTTTGCTTTCTCAATCGATAATGGAGGTTCCCATTCCTCTATTGAGAAGGGTTTCAGCTTGCCAGTTGATGAGCGCAGTTGCCCGGAATAGCCATAAGGGCCACTGTGGCGTATTGGCAGTGCTCGCCCTCTCACCACTAGGTGAATGATGATGGTTTGCTCCCCGCTGTCGTTTTCGCTTTTGTAAAACGTCTTTCATCCGAATAAAGCTCCTGAACCGTTTTTCTTACTAATTTCAGTTAGCGCTGGTAGGTGATAGATAGGTGACCGCAAATGATAGCCGAAACAAAGCGCTAACTCAAATCACTACGAAAAAACGGTTTAGGAGCTTTTATTCTGATGGAAGCACGTTTTTCAAAAGCGAGAACGACAACGCTGATCAAACCCTCATCGTTCACTGGAGAAAGAGCACTGCCACTACGCCACGATGACCCTCGTGGCATTGCGGGCAACTGCGCTCACCAACTGGCATTATCTCTCCATGTTTCAAGCATGAAAACATGGGAAGCTAAACCCCTTCCCTGGTTGAACCACTCACTTACAACATTAACTGCGTTTTGGCGAAGACGACAATCGGCCTAGGTTTGAATAACCTTATAAGTTTGAGATCATCCGCAAATACTTCATATTCTACTCCGAAAGGAAAAATTAACGAACTAAGATTAAAAGTATATATGTTGAGAAGTGGAATCGAGAGTACTCCACTTTGCAGAATGCCACTCGAAGCCCTTTGGATGGAGGAAAAAAATATTTGATGCGGACATGAAAGGTACGGTCTGTGAGAAATTCACGTTACCATCCCAAAGCAGTCCCTTGATTCCTACACTAACAGGCTTGAAGAACAGTTTGTTATGGAGAAGTCAGAATAGATGATATTATGTTAACTGCTTACATCTGATCAATTCCAAAGGTTCAATCAACCAGAGCTTTAAGGAGCTGATTTATCGTTGACCTACTTTTGACAATGCCATGCTAATTTGAGCTGATGACGGGATGCTTATATAAGTGTTCCAATCCGTCCTGCCGTCTGTACTCCTATCCTATCAAACTCTCTAGGCTCAGAGAGGATTAGGAATTATGAATTTGCGCCCAAACATTTATTTTGCGCACGCTGTGCTGCCTGTGGGCAAAGTCCGGTCCTGCCACCACCAATGGTGTTTCCATCCTGCCGCCTGTACTCCTACCAAGTTTGAACTCTCTAGGTTCAGAAGAGCATGAGTTATGAATTTCCCTTCGACTCTGGTAAGAGAAAGTTTCATTAGGTACCTAGGAAGTACCTGGCACCTTCTGATGTAGTTGTTGGGTACCTGCATGAGGTGCCTAACAACTACATACATTAGAATCAAGCTCCAGGAAATATAGGGGCACGCCATCGTGGGTAAGGGATCAGGAGCTTGGCCATTTTCGTATATGTTTTAAAATCACTTCTACATAAAACCAGAGGCTCTGGTTCATGATAGGGAAAAGCGTCACTAAAATGTTGCTACGATGTGAGGACATTTGCAGAATAGCTTAAACTGAGGCAGAATATTTCACCAACACCTCAGCATTAGTCTGTTCCGGGAAGACGTCGTTACATCTCGTACTCCTCAGAGTAGAAATGTCAATCCGATTTTTGTGCTTCGCAGATAGCATCCTATAGAAGGCAGACTCATTCGAACTAATCGCTTCCTTTACGACAAGTGAGTTGTGTTTGCTCATTGATTAGACAAAACGTGCTCCTAAGAGGATACAAACAGTTGTACAATGTGAGATGGAGAGGGTAATCCTGGGCCTTCGCTTCTACCGAAGACCAACATGTCAACTGCACACTGGAGTACAAAAATGAAGAGCTCGTACAGACATTAGAGCAGTAATTAGAAAACCCGAACGTGATAACCTCAGCAAGGTACTAGCAAATTTCATCATAGCTGGCACTAGAAAATTTCCTACGTCAAAAGGACCTATGTCTTTACTTGGGAAATTAACATTAAATACTACAGCAGTATAGTGCTGAGACCCAATAGGAGGATTTGTGGTTACCGCATCAGTCAAACCAGACTTATTACAAAAGGCTTCAAACCAGACATATAACAAAAGACTAAGTCCAAGATATGGTCACCGCAGGTAGGATAATGAAAAATTTGCACTAAGTTGTAACTTCTGCGCAGTTGTAGAACTGTCCCAGCAGACAACTAAAGTTACCGCTCCTTCTTTGACCAATCAATATCCGGCACATTGAAATCTCCTGCAACAATGAAGGTGTGAGAGCATACTGAAAGATCAGTTAAGGTCCTGATGAGTTAGCTGCTGAGTGTTGATATTGTAAGCATGAACGCGTCTTACATCATCGGTTTACTGTATAAGCACTGCAAAACCTCCGTGTGACTGAACCTTTTAGAGTGGAGTCCTCAAGCCGGCGCAGCGAGGAGACGTCTGGCGACAACAACACCGAACAGCGTCGACTCTTCTGTACCTTCTCATCTCATGCCCATCGTCTTTTTCATCCCAAGAGCGGACTTGAATCATGTTGCCGTAGTAGAATGTATGTATAGCCGCTCCTTGTCCATTGCTCGCATGTGCGTGTATTGTTTAATTATAGCAGTTGAGCTGCGCACAATACCGTGCGCGTTTCATGACCTTCGATAAATGGACTCCCTCAAAGATAACTCTGAGCGGATGTATGCCAGCATCTTAGTAGTGGAGTCCATCGTCAATGGATGACTAACGACTTTCTTTCTACATGAAAGCTTCACTCGATGGAAGAATCTAGTTCACGCTTATCGCCGGGATCATTCACGTTGTACGCTATCCATCATAAAATGGGAAGCGAGTAAAACTAACAAAACATTTTCCGCCTCTACCTGTCGCCGTCACAATTTATCAGCACAAACAAACTTTAAAAAACTGAATTGAAATCAGCCGCAGCTTCTCATGTCAGCCTTGCTATAATTTTCATCGGATCGCCCGCTGGCGCCAGGCGCTCCTCCTCTCTGTGCAAAAGGACCCTGTTGCCTCCAAATTTGAATGCTCTGGTACAGTTGAACAGGAGAAGAGGAGTTACAGATTTCGGAACTACAGCTTACGCGCCCGCCCCCGGTTGGCGGAGCTAGCTTAAGTCACGAGTACCCAAAGAGTTCGGCTCATTCCCCACTTGCTCCAATCTGTCTGAGCTGTTCCAATAGACTTCCAAACGGCACCATATAAGATAGTGTTACAGACAAACAGACAAACGGACATTTGCGGTTTATATATAGTAAGGTTGACCTCGAGATACCAACAGGTCATCTTGCCTCCTCATTCTGTATTGTTGCCTTAAAGATAAACCCTCTTAGTCTGGTGATGATATCAACCGCTC